TATATGCATTACTTTTTTATTATCGCTGTGATAGACCACCTGACATAAATCACCTAAAGCAAAGAATTAAATAATTTGGCTCACAGTTTCAGAGGGTTCAACCCCATGAGTTTGGCACCAAACATTTGTGCAAAACATCAAGGTAGAAGGTGCACAAGATAGAAGAGAGATGTTAATTTTATGGTGAACAAGAAGGGGAGTGGGTGGGAAGGAAGGAGTCAGGGACAAGATACACCTGAGAGTCTGCCTTCAATTTCCTAATTTCTCCAGATAGGCCCGATATCCCAAAGTTTCCAGAACTTCTCAGATAGCACCAACAACTGTGGACCAAACCCCCAACACATGAGCAATTTGGAGGGACACATCATAGTGAAATCAAGACATTCCACCCACATCTCCCACAAGGCACATATGTTAGGAGCTTGATCACTAGCTATTGGGATTATTTTGGGAGCTTCTGAAACCTTTGGAGGGGTGACCTGCTTGAAGACATAGGTTACTGGGTATGGACCATTGGGAGGATCTTGTTCCTGGTTCCTTCCTGTTCCTCTCTCTGTTTCCTGTCCCACAGGAAGTGAAGTGAATAGATCCTCTTGTTCACATGCTTCCACCAACTACAAATGCTTAAGGTCAAATAACCACAGACTGAACCTTCTAAAACCATGAGTCAAAACAGTAATTTTCCCCTTTCAGTCATTTATGCCAGGTACTTGATCACAGTAACATAAAAGGGATTAATACAGAAAATTGGTAACAGGGAAGAGGGATCATTGCTGTAACTAATCAGGTAGTTTCTAAGTATTGGAAATAGTTTGTGGATTTGGAGATTCAGGCAAGTGAAGTCCTAGAATGCAATAAGTAGAGCAAGGTCAACAAGTCTGGTGAGAGCTCAGATGACCACAAAGACAATAGAAATGTGAACAGTAAAGACTATGCTCATGAGTTTTCTTATGGGAACAAGGACTCTGTTAGAAACTGGACTAGAGTCCATTTGTGTTACATTCTGACAAAGAATTTGTTTATATTTTGTCTACTCCCTGATATTTTGATGAGACTAAATTTAAAGGTGGTGAACTTTTAATGATTTTATTGGGTAAATCTCAAGACAGCAAAGGATCTGGCTATGGCAGAGATATTGTAAGCTGCTTTTAGTCAGCTATACAATGATGATTGGGAGGAAAAAGCAGAGTAAGAAGATTTGATAAACTGCTCAGTCAGACATAGAACACATTTCATGCTGAGGAAAAGGAACGCTTAGTTGATAAAGAGATTAGAGCCATTAAAAAGAAAATAAGCACTTTGCACCTGGACAATAAAAAAGATGTCTTGAGTGCATCTTAGAAATTATTCCTACACCCTGTCCAAGAGCTCAGGAATAGAAAGGTTTCAACTCCTTTGACTTTCCTTTGAGGAGGGCCACCTAGGGGGAGTGTTTTCCTGCACTCAGTCACCTAGGCATTCAGAGGCCACTATAGTGATAATCTAGGGAGCTGGGCTACCGCTTGAGCCGGCAGCCAACCTTAGCATTCTCCACATGGTGCTGGTTTTCAGGAAGTAAGAAAAAGGAGTTACTGAGGCTACCACCCAAGACATGATGGTTAGTTTGAGTGTCAACATGATTGGAATTAAAAGCACTTAAGAGTTTTTCATGGGCTGGAGAGATGGTTCCACAGATAAGACCACTGTCAGCACTTGAAGATAACCCAGGTTTAGCTCCCAGCTCCCACATGTTGGCAAACAACCGTCTGTAACTCCAGTTCCAAGGGATCTGACTCCCTTTTCTGGGCTCCGTGGGCACTGCAAAACACAGGCACACTTACATGCATGCCATCAATATACTCACACAAATAAAATAAAAATAATAAAGATTTTTTTTTTTTTTAGAAAAAAGAGTATATGTGTCTATGAGGATGTGTCTATGAGGACACTTTCAGAGAATGTCTAAAGAGTAAAGACATATTCTAATATTGGGTGTCACTGTCCCATAAGCTAGGAGCCCAGACTGAATAAAATGAGAAAAGCACAAAGCCAGACCAGCACCAGCACTCCCCTGGCATCATCTTCCTGGCCACAATGGTGTGAAATACTCTGTTCCATGATGCTTGCCCTGCCATGATACACTGACACCTCTGAAATTATGACCCGAAACCACTATTTCCTCCTTGAAATTGTTTATGTCACTAGTAAATCTGTCTAGTTCTGATGTTTTCTCTGTAGAAAAGTACTTAATTATAACTTTATTTTTATTAAATTTTTGCAAATTTAATATAATACATCTCAATCATATTTAGACCCCCTCCCCTATCCATATCCACCACTAGATTTTACGCTTTCTATCATATATGTCAAGGCTTATTGAGCCATGTTTGTGTCTGCTAATGTTCCTTGGTGGGAGTCTATCTACTGGACCCTGGTCAACCTATTTGGTATCACTCTCTTAAAGTAAACCAACTCTCCCTCTTCCAGTAGTCGTTGGTTTCTAACAGTTCCTCAACTAGGGTTAGGGCTTCTCAGTTTGGGCCTTCTTCCCCCTTCCCTGCTCTATGCTGGGATTTTATCTGACTTGAGGTTGTAGGGGTCTTAGGCATGCTGTCACCATTGCTGCAAGTTCAAACGGGCAACTTCCCAGGTGCTTGGAAAACTCTGTTTCCTTGTGGTCATCAGCCACCTCTGGCTCTTACAATCTTTCTGCCCCCTCTTCTGCAATGATCCCTGAGTCTTGAGTGGCAGAGGTTTATTTAACTTTTAAACAAATGCTTAATAATTTTACCTTTTGTCATTTATTTCTTTATTCTTTAAAATTAAATTACTTGTTACCAATGAAGTCATTACAATCTTTTAAAACATAATCTTTGTCATATTTTATTCCAAACTTTATCAACTATTAAAGTATTCTTTTAAAATAGGGTTCCTGTTTCCATTAGAGATTTTATTCTATTTATGCTTACTGTAATTATTAATATATTTTGTTAATTCTTACTGTTTGTTTTTTAAATTGTAGCTCTTTTATTTTTGCTATTGTTAGAGGAGGAGGAGGAGATTTAATTTGGTCCAGGTTACTCTGCCACAAGATCGTGCACTAAAGTAGAAACCAGAAGTCTGAGATAGACTTTTCAGGAAACTATTTCCAGGCTATAGTACTTATCAGATATGAAATAAAAATAGAATCAAGCTTTACTTCTAATTCATTAGAAACAAGTAAAGCTCATAGACTAGAGACAGATTTAACATTTAAGTATCTACTACACATTATGTTGCTTGCTTTACACAGTATCTCTATCCTCACAACATCCCTGAAATAGTAATATTGTCACTGATGTTTTATAAATAACCTAAAGTCAATGGGAATCATCAACTTGCTCCAGATGACAGAAATGATGTGGTAAAGTGGGAAGTGTTTGTTGCGATAAAGCTCTGGGCTTTCCTGTGAGCAATGTAATCCCATAGCTAAAGAAGTAGATCTTTTTCATGATCCCAGGGTCTTGAAGGTTATATGCCTATATACAGGCCCAAAGGGTGCAAGTAGAGGATTTGGAGTTGTGCTTTAAGAATCTTGACTATAGTTCAAATGTAAACATCTTTAAGAATAAGGACATATTTGATAAGTGGAATAAATTAAATAATGGGCACATTATAATTTATTACTTAAGAAGAAAGTTACTCAATCACAATTGTACAGCAAAAAAACTTCAGTGTGTTCTCCACAAATCATCATATACTATGAACCATCAATGCCTCACTTAGAAAACAGGCAAAGTACAAACAGATATAATAAAACTCAGAGAGACAGAGCCTACAACTAGTGTTCTGAGGGGTCAAGCTGCTTTTATGTGATGAAGCTATCTTCCTCAAATGAAATGTATTCTTTACACAAGTGCATTTCCATTTTCCATAAAGAATACCTACAAATCTTGTCATTAGCCATCATCAGGAAGAAGAACCACTTGACTCTCCTTCACTCAGCTTGTCTATGCATAATATGAAACTCTCCTTCCACTTGAGGGAAAAATAAAGACATTATCCATTCCCCTTAATATTACTGTAGCCAACCTGACTGACTTCATAACATTTAGGGAATAAAAATTTCCATCCCCAAACAGTGTCAACAGATATATGTTTATTCCTTGTTTGAATTATACCACAATTAGACCAAACTGATGATAATTGGATCTATGGGACATCATCCCCAGAGTTTCGGTCTTGGTAATACTATAGACAGATTTGTAACTTTAATTTGTTGTGTTATCTGGAAACATTTCAAAAGCAACAAATAGATTAAATTGCCTTCCAGTGCCAGAGGCTGGTCCTTTGGAGGATGTTTCTACAGCACAGTCACCAAGGCAACTACAGCAATATGAAAGATGCAGAGGCTATATGCCCCCCACCACCAGAGTATCCATCATCACTTTCTTGGGTTTGAAAAAGAAACTCTAGCTTGTTCTCCTATGTTCAAAGTCTTCAATTAATTTAATTTATACCTATGGAAATCTGCACATTTTTTACTGATCAGCTCTTCCAACTCACTTTAGACATATCTTTATAAGTGGCAGAAGAAACTGTGAAATTGGAACTAGAGATTTTCCTGATAAGAAAACTGTTTCCAAGCTAGAAGAGGAAAATTTTCTCAGTGACTCAAAGGTAAATACATAGCTGTAGATCAGTTATAAATATAGTTTTAGAAAAAGAAAGAAAGCAAAAGGTTGTTTCCTTTGTTCCCTCTTGATGTTTATTAAATAAACTCGTCTACCACCCCCTTGACATTGGAAAAAAGTCGTGTTGCAAAAATAGCACGTTCTTCATGTCTCTGTTGACTTCATAGTTATATTAATGAAATATTGTTCAGACATGTGCTGCTATAATAATATTCTAGCCCAAAGAGTGTAAGCCACAAAGTCATATGAAAAGAAAATGTGAGAAAACATGAACCAGGACTCTTTGTTTTCTATATAACATCTGATGTAATGCTCATGTACATATACAAATGAATAAGAGATATTAAAATGGTCCAGGCAAACTGGACATCAGTCACAGTGTTTTTCTTCCTGGGATTTTCCCACTATCCTAAAGCTGAGGTCATTGTATTTATGCTGTGTCTAGTGATGTACCTTATCAACTTGCTGGGCAATACCATTCTGATTTCCATCACCATCCTGGATTCCCACCTTCACACTCCCATGTACTTTTTCCTCAGCAACCTCTCCTTTCTGGACATCTGGTATACCTCTTCTGCTCTCACTCCTATGCTGGCAAACTTTGTTTTGGGGAACAATACAATCTCATTCTCAGGATGTGCTTTTCAGATGTACCTCTCTCTTGCCATGGGCTCCACTGAATGTGTGCTCCTCTCTATGATGGCTTATGACCGGTATATTGCCATCCGCAACCCCCTGAGATACCCCATAATCATGAACAGGAGGATCTGTGTGCAGATTGCAGGCAGCTCCTGGCTGACAGGCTGCCTCACTTCCCTGGTGGAAACCGTGTCTGTGCTTCAGCTGTCTCTCTGTGGTAACACCATCATCAATCATTTCACCTGTGAAATCCTGGCTCTCTTGAAAATGGCTTGTGTAGACACTTCCGCAGTGCAGTTAATCATGCTCGTGATCAGTGTCCTCCTTCTCCCCTTGCCAATGCTGCTCATCTGTGTCTCCTATGCACTCATCCTCTCCAACATCCTGAGCATTAGCTCAGGGGATGGTCAAAGCAAAGCCTTTTCAACATGTGCAGCCCACTTGACTGTGGTGGTTCTGTTCTACGGAACAGCTCTCTCCATGTATCTGAAACCCTCAGCTGTAAATTCACAGGAAATAGATAAATTTATGGCTCTGGTATATGCTGGGTTAACACCAACGCTGAATCCTATTATCTATAGTCTACGGAACAAAGAAGTAAAAATGGCTGCGAAAAAACTGCTGATTAGAAATCCCTTTATCACTATATCAACTTTCATCTTCAAATAATATTGGAACAAGCACGCTCATCTAGATAATCTTCAGCATCCTTCAGAAAACTGCATGATAGGCAATACAAATGAAGGCTGTGTTTGTGTTTGAGACAGTCTCCCTGTAGCCTAGCTGGCTTGGAACTTGCTATGTAGGCCAGGCTGGCTTCACTTTCACAGAGATTCACCTGCCTCTGCCTCTTGAATGCTGGGACTAAAGACATGCAGCAACATTCCTGGCCTGAAAATACTCATCTTTAATAAGATCTCAGCATTAAGCCCTATATCCTGATTTACTTGTAAACAAAATATTTTGTATCAACGAATAATTTATACAGAACTATGCTTTCAAGGAAGAAGTTAGCATTTTTGTCTGTTAGTATGAACTTAAAATTATGCAACTACCTATTCTTTTGTATTTGATCTGCTAAATTATTTCAGTGCCCAGCTGTGGGATAACCATGAACATAAGTAATATAAAAAGAAGGTCAGGGCTGAGCCAAAAGAGATGGCTCAGCGGTTAAGAGCACTGACTGCTCTTGCAGAGGACCTGGGTTCGATTCCCAGCACCCACATGGCGGCTATGAACCGTCCTTAACTCCAGTTCCAGGGGAATCTGAAGCCCTCTTCTGACCTCTGTGGCACTGCACGACACAGGTACACTCACATACATGCAGGCACTATACTCATACATATAAATTTTTTTTTAATTTTTAAAAAGGAGGTAGAATTGTTAGCCCAGTACACTTTGAAGTATTGTGTTCTCAGCAATTTGTCATTATCTCTGCACTTAGAAAGATATTTTAATTAGTAAAAAAATATAGTTCAAGAAATATATGTATATACATGTATATTTCATAAAATCAATTGACCATAACTTTTTGTTACTATTCCAAGATTCTAAAGCGTTAAAATGTATAAAATATTGTTTAAGATTTGGTGAGGCAAAGTAGTGACTGCTGTTTAAGGTGTATGTGTAGGGCAATGAATGAATACATGCATGTATAAGCATGTCATAATAAGGTCTGTACAACTGAAAGCCAAAGTATAAATTGCAATACAAGTGTAACAGTTGAGAGATCTTGATTTACAAGAAAAGGTCAGAATATTCTCACACTGTACTTTGGTGACAATGAATTCGTCAATTACTCATCCACGATATTATTCTTTAAAGCATGTTGAATAATTGGGCTGAGGCTGTAGTTGAATAGTAGAGTGACTGCCTAGCATGTGTGAGGCCCTGGCTTCAATCCCCAGTACTGAAAGAAAAAGCATGTTGTTTCACCAGCCAAGGAGGGCTAAGAAAGAAAGAAAGAATCCTACCCACTAATGCTTATATTTCAAAAGAAATGACTTTTAATGTAGGCATATATTGCATAAAATGATTCGTGAATATATTTAGAGTGTGTGAGCAAAACTATGTGAGTTATGACTTCACCATGATATTAATAAATGTTTGTCTTTATCTTTTAAACCCTATTGGAATGTGGGGAATAATGTGGCTAATATAAAGGTTACTTCCTTGGAATTAATGTGGATGATGGCTTTATCCTGTGGAAAAAGTACCTCTGGATACCGTAGACAGAAGTCTCCTGTGAGCCTTAGGTTCAGAGAAGGTTAGATAATTAAATATGAGTATTAGTTCAGCACCAGGATGTATTCTTATAGTCCCAGCACTATAGAGGATAAGGTAGAAGAAGGATCATGAACTGATGCTGGTCTGGGACGCATAGGATCTCCTCCCCAATAAAGAGAAGAGGAAGAAAGGCAAAATAAGAGACAGGAAAGATAAAGAAGGAGGGACAGAGGAGAGGAAGGAGAGAGGAAAGGAGGTTGGAGGAAGAGATTACCACACGAGCTCCGCACCTGAACAGCACAGCACTCAAAAAATGACTCAGTCATGAGTGGATGGATTTAGGAAAAAACATGCAGGAAGAACATATTCAGTGAGGTGGATTCTGCTCATGATCTCAATCCAAATGCTCTAGGGATTCATGATGCTAAGCTCTGTCAATTCAGAATCTCTCTGCAGGTGGGGACTGTTATTTTTATTTCATCCTTATTTAAACATGTCACTGTCAGCGCAGTGACCATGATATGGTTTTGGCTAACTGAAGGAAGGAGTGTTAAACTTACTACTCACATTCTTAGAGGATGTGCATGAGTGAGACACTGCCTGTGTAGCAGAACAAGAAGCTGTCCAGAGGCAAAACCCAGTGACATGGCTTCAGCCTCCTGGTTGGAATGTCACAAGCCTAGAGAGGGCCCTCTAATTTAGGTGCTTTTGCAGTAGTCAAGTTGGAGTTGCTGTGAGGGAGCATCCAGTTGATCCTTTGTTTGAAATACTTACATTCATTTTACTTTTGTTTTCCACTGTACAAGTGATTGACCCCAATGGATAAGTGAATTTACTCCTATAAATTTACTTTTGACTTTCAGAGAGCAGTCATGATTCCAAGGTCTAAAGGAGAATCTTGCTGGGAGCCCCTTCAGATACATTCATGTGAGCTGAAAGGAGACACACTTTCTTGCTTTTGCAGACACACAGTAAATAGCAACTCATATAGATCATTAGATTCATTAATGACTGATAAGCCTATCTTTGAAATATCCCTGACCTATTTTTGATATTCAAAAGGGTTTATTTGATGTTTTATGTGAACCTTTCTGTAAGTTAGGCAATTTAAAAAATATTTATTTATTTTTATTTTATATATATGAATGCTTGCTTGCATGTATATATGTATACCTTCTACATCCCTGTGGAGGTCAAAAAAGGACAATGAATTCCCTGAAACTATAGGCAGTTGTGAGCCCCAATGTGGGTATCAGGAACCAAAACTGGGTCCTCTGCAAGAAGATGTGCTTTTAGCTGCTGAGTTGAGTATCTCTCTAGTCCTCTTGAAAGTTTTCCAAACTGACTAGAAGATGATAATCTCTTGGAATTCTTGCTAAAGATATGCTCAGAATCAACCTAAATTCCCTGAATCATGCTTTGTGGGAGAGAAATATCTTAACTTGTATGTCTCATAAGAACTACAGACTTTCATTATGTTACAATTATAGGAAACATGGACACCAAGCATTAAATGAAAAGATATGAACTATATTACTTAATGTTCTAGAATGTTGGAAAATAGATGTATGTCAAGAAGATGAGATCTTCCATATGTCCATATCAGAACTGCTCTGAATTTTAGAACAGAATGTGCTGTCCACTAGAACTCCTCACAGAACACCAGAGAAAAGGACGATTCACTCAATAAAGGGAAATTTTTGAGTGCACATTACTTGGAACTGGTTCAAAGGAGAACTGTTCAAATAAGGCTTGACTCCACGGTGTTTGACACAATTCTTGTTTGTGTAGAGAAAAGAGAAAAACCAAATGCATCAATTTAACTTAATAAATGGTTTCTATATCTATTCAGAAGGAAGGAATTTTTTTTGAGATTTTTTTTGAGGGAGAAGCATAATCCACCATTTATTGATTATTTATTTATTTAGAATATTTTTATTGGTCCAAAGAGAGGCAATTTTTAACACATTTTTTTCCAGAAATAACGAAGTAGGTTACATAAAAATATACATACAATGAAGTTTAAGGTGGGGGAGAGTAGGAATAAGGATCCAAAGACCAAAGGATTTGCCAACATGAGGTCAACTTCGGTGGAATAATTAAGGTTTCCATTTCTGTTTTGGGGTTTTTTTTGTTTTTGTTCCGTTTTGTTTTGCTTTGCTTTGCTTTGCTTTGCTTTTGTTTTGTTGTTTTGAAAATCCTAACTAGTTTATTAGGCTTGTTAACAGAGCATAAGGTGGGAGCTTATTTACAAAAGAGTGCCCCCCCTCCATTTATGGCTGTGCTTGAAAGACTCAAATATAGATCCTGTGACTTCCCGACAGCTGCATATAATGGCGAGAGTGCTGTTTTATGGCATTCTTGGCTTATATATCCTTAGCCCCTCCCCCTCATGCAGCTAAGGTCCACTGATTGGGTGGAAGGGGTGACTGACTCCCCCCTCGACTCCTTGAGAAGCATGGGAAGGAGGTGTGACTATAGATTGCTGGCATAGTGGTCGGAGGACACTTCCAGGTAATACTCCACCCCTTCCTCCTGCTCTTACATTCTTTCAGCCAACCTCTTCCACAAATGTCCCCAAGCCTTGGGGGGTCAAGGGGGTGATAGGATGATTTTCTCCCTGTTGTGTCCAGATACTGAACTTTCAGGTCTCTGCAAGTTTTCCATGGGCCGTTGGCACATTTCAGTGGGATCCCAGCTATTATAAGGATTTGGTGCTAAGATCCACAAATGAGGGCAAACAAATGCCTTTTGTTTTTCTGAGTTTGTGTTATTTCACTTAGTATAACAGTTTCTAGTTCCATCAATTTATCTGCAAATTTCATGATTTCCTCTTTCTTTACTGCTGAGTAGAACTCCATTGTGTAAATATACCACATTTTCATTAACCACTTGTCAGTTGAGGGGCACTTAGGTTGCTTCTGTCTCTTAGCTATTGTGAAAAGAGCAGCAACAAACATGGTTGTACAAGTGTCTCTGCAACAGAATGAGTATTTTGGGTATATGCCGAGGAGTGGTATAACTGAGTCATATGGTAGTTTAATTTTTAGTTTTTTAAGAGTTTTCCACACTGTTTTCATTAGGGGTTGCATGAGTTTGCACTCCCAGCAGAAATGAATGAGCATTCCATTTTTTCCACATCCTCACCAGCATTTGGTATCATTTGTTCCCTTGATCTTAGCCAGTCTGACTGGGGAAAGGTGAAATTTTAAAGTGGTTCTAATTTGCATTTCCCTAATTACTAGTGATGTTGAGCAATTGTTTTAACATACAACAAAATGATCATTTTAGGAAAACTGGCTTTGACCAATGAAAGCATGGCAGAGTGACGCTGGAAAAGAGATTAGAAAAACTGAGTGTGTAACCTGACATCCAAGGCACTACTTTTTAATATGTGAATTATGCTGATGTACTGTAATGCTCTCATTACATGCTTTAAAAAA